AAATCTTGCTTCAATCAATCTATTTTATCAGCTAGGAAATCGTATAAGGAAATACTCAATAAAGAATTCAAAGACTTTTAATTAAACACTTTCTTCGCTTTTTCACACAATTCAAAAACTTTTCAAAGACCTGAAAGACTTGAATTCAAATTTAAAGACATTCAAGGATTTCAAAGACCGCTACGAACCCTGCAGTGGATCTAGGTGGGTCCGGAAAATTTTGAATTTTTAGATTCATTAAACCGTATTTTAGGACGAGGTTTGTTACCACAACGAAAAGCCATTTTTAAGTCGCCTAAAGTTGTTAGATCGAAAAATATTTTTGTAAAGCTGTACTGTACACATAAATTCAACAGCAAATTGCACGATGTCTTCCTTTTTGAAGTGGAAATTATATTGTAATAAAAAGAATGAACTTTGGACTTTGACTGCTGCTATGCGCGTAAATTCTAGTTCAAATGTGCTTTCAACCACCATAGGCATAGCCTGCGAACAGGCTCACTGGGAGAAAGGTGAGCCTGCACGGAACCATGCGTTTTATTCATTCATCCCCTTTTCGCATCTGCTAAACGCTAACCAATCAGCGTCGACTGCGATAAATAAACTGTCAACTGTCAAATTGACGCAAGGCGTGTACATTGTGCAACATAAACAATAATAATACAAAGCATTAGCGGGCCGCACAATATATTACTCGGAAAAATATAGAATTCTTCAAATATTAAATAGATATCAATACACATACAAATATAAAGCCGAATAAACTACCATTGGCTTTGAATATACAGTAATACTTGTACTATGTGCGACTGAAAGAACAATGTTCTGAATATTTTGAAGCTATTACTAAAATACGGTCAGATAGATTGGGATTTGGAATACCGAATACGTTTAAAATTTTACTAACTGTGGTCTAAATAAATGATAAATGAGCATGTATTTATTAATTTCTTCGAAATCACGAGTGTGCCAATAGTGGAAGCCGTATCGACGACGAAATTGTCAGCAGTTAATATACAGTAAACAGTACAACGTTTAATGTACGGTATATATTTATCTAAATGACATGCCAGCGAGGATCGACAATATAATTATTCGTACATATTTGGATATCTTTTGTATGCCTTCGCTTGCTGACTTGCTCACTAATGATAATAATCCGTGAAGCCACGACGACCTCAAAATGTACTATACTATGGTCTGATGTCAATCCGAAGACGAAGTTCAGAATACTGTTATAGTTTCGTATATTGGATTTAAGCGATAGATTCAAGTCATTTATGATAGACTTTTTTGCTGTGATGCTTTGCTATTGCTTTTGGTTTCCATTTCTAGTTTTATTTGTTCGATAGTCCTATAATATATAATATTAAAATGAATAAACTTCAAATTCTTCAAAATGCTGTTGTTGACATTTGCTATTTTTAGTAATTTTGTCAACGAGTGTAAGCCAATCAGAAGCCTGCGTTTCTATACGAACGCCACTACCAAGAAAACCTATCATCCGTGCAGGCCCTCTATTCTTCGCGCCGCCCGCAACCCAGGGCCTGTTCGCAGGCTACCATAGGCATTTTTTTACTGGAGTTAGGATTTAAGATAGGGAAGACTACAACTTTTATTGGTAAACAGAAGAGATGGGAATCCTTGTTCACGCATCGTACCCCCCCCCCCTCCCAATTTCTGCCCGGATAATTTTAGCTTTTCACAAGGTTAGACCTTTTGCCCATTGGGAGGCGGATCCCTCTTCTGCCCCCCCCCCCCTTACTTGTCTACGCCACTCATGAATGGTGAAAATTTGTGAAGAACAAGGGAACAGAAGAAAAACATCCAAGGATCATAACTGAATATAGGGGCCCAAAAGCAATTTTATGTGACAGGTTGTTTTGCGTAGCAAAAGCCGTTATAGCTAATCATACTAAAATTTCATCGGCTCCTAAGGAGAGTTCAGATAAAATAAAATTTTGGTTGATTTTCCAAGACTTATATGGGGTGTCACTGTCTGGCAAAATAAGTAAATATTCTGATTTTTTAATTGCTCCCATGGCATTCTTTCATAGCTCGCATGCCTGGCACATACAATACGTGACTTGCATGGCTTGAAATCCTGGCACACAGGTATTCATGTGACTAATCGGCATTTCACATGTAAAATTTTTATGTGAAATGAAACAACTATGAAATCCATATTTCACATGTGAAAATTCAATATGTGAAATCAAACACGTGAAATCCTTGAAGAGAATTTGTATAAAACACTTAATTTAATTAATATAACGTGGAATATTTATGTTCACAACTAAAAAACTGACCATGTAACTGTTTATGAAAAGCTTGTAATTTTTCCGACCCCCGCTAGCAACTGCAGACGAAGGGTCGAAACGTCGAAATTCTCCTTATATTTTTCAGGAAGTTGCATCCCTACGGACACCAACGAAATTCATCCTTTGAATCAACCTTCGAATTATGCTGAACTTTGGCGAAATTAATATCTATTAGGTTGTACACATGACAAACGCGACCTTTGAACTAGACCATATCTTGTAACCTAAACGCGTTGTTTGAACTCATTTTCATTAAGTTTGGCACACGAAAAATGACTTGAAGCTAGCAATTGAAGTGCATGACTTCCGCAAAAAAGGCATCCAGTCCGTCCCATCGATGTTATTTCTTGCTTTCGTTTGGCAACACGCTTGTAATTTTCTTCTTTTTATTAGTATTATCTGCATTGGTTATATACTTTCTAATGGCCACAAGTAGATTAGTGTCATTGTACTATACTGTGCAATTTATACCCCCATTCATTCATTCATTCATTCATTCATTCAATCAATCAATCAATCAATCAATCAATCAATCAATCAATCAATCAATCAATTAATCAATCAATCAATCAATCAATCAATCAAACAATCAGTCAATCAATCAATCAATCAATAAACACGCAAGGTTTCTCATTACTTGGTGGCACTGTGCATGGTGTCTGCGGCAATTGAAAATGTATACTTTGTGTCTTAGTGTAGATTTGTTTAGTAAGGCTGGAAATTTCCCATATAAGTGCAACAGGGAGGGCTATCCCTCCTTGTACTAGGCCTATATACGGCTAAGTAAGAAAACCGCCGTATCTGTCTCAAACTTGGCTTTTAGATTTTTTTTTCACTTGAAAGTTGAAATATGTAGGTTTTTAACAACATCCAACTTGGAATTTTTCTTGGGATTTTTCTAGTAAAAGATATAATGAAAAAAGGCATTTTAGCAGCGAAATAGTTGTGCCAGAATAAACAGATTAAGTTTTTTTCATACAAATATTGATCAAATCCAGATATTTTTGGATGCATGGGATCACTTTATTTATTTATTTTAAATTATTTCAAAATGTCGAGTCGTCTCCAGTCTTCTTTACGGAAACGGCATTTTTTGGGGAAGATAAAGTCACTATTACGTAGGGCATATGTTGACTGTTTTAGACTAAAAATTTCATTAAAACTATTCGGCGCAAGTCCGTTTTTAACTTTGTACATGTAAATGGCAATGTCCTGTAGCCTTCTGTTCATCAATCTGTTGTATAATGAAGGGAGCTCTGCCATCTCCAGAAGTGTTTCATAAGAGTATGTTTTTGTTCTATAAACTGCTCGCAATGCACGCTCCTGGACACGTTCAACTTTTCATCTATCCGACCCTTTGCAGAAATGCCAAACTGTGTGACAATATGTAAGGTAAAGAAGGATAGATGTTTTATAGATTATCAGTTTAGCTGAACACGGTATTAAATTGCGTAATCGAGTTAGTACTCCAACTTTTCTGCTCGCCTTTTTACACAACTCGCTGATGTGGTTACTGAAATTTAAATTGTCGTCAACTTTTGCCCCAAGCAGTTCTATTTGATCATTATTCTTGACAACTTTTCCATTCAAGAATATGTCTTTATTCTGTTGACTAGTGTCCACGTTTCTTGGGTTTATGGTGAGCACCTGGAATTTGTCTGGATTTGCTTGCAGATAATTTTCTTCATACCATGACATTGCTTGTTTCCCTTGTTCCTCTAGACTGTCTTTCACCATGACCAGGTTTGAGCCTGTTTTGTACATTTGATGGTCATCCGCGTACATGGCCAAGTTTGAATTGGTTACTTGTTGAGCCATATCATTTTGAAAAAGGTTCCAAATCAGCGGCCCAAAAGAAGACCCCTGGGAACACCCTCTTTTCATATATTTCCATTGACTTTTCTTATTACTTCAAAATGTCCCCTGGGGACACCCTCCTTTCATATATTTCCATTCACTTCCATTTATACATATAATCAGAGGTAGAAAAAGTATCGGAACCTGCGAACCCCTATGTATTGTAGTGTATTGCTGAAAATTTTGAAAGAAAAAGAATTTTCCATCTCTGTCTCTAATCTTAATCCTAACCCCAAATCTTGTGTCGTCAATTCAGGATAGTAATATGGAAAGTCCCCCGAAGTATGGAGTCAGTATACGCAGTCGTTCAAAGATCTCCTCCAACTGGACGAAAGTTTTAAAAAGAACGAAGCCCTTTTCGAATTTCGTTCTAGTCATGTCAAGAACAATAACGCCAAATCTAGGCTTGTGCTGAATTATATGATGGAAATAAAAGCCCAGCATAATGCTTTAAATATATCCATACACACAAATCATATAAATTTTTAATAAAAGTGACGTTTCGTCTCAACTCAAGACATCTTCAAACTAACAGTAAAATTACAATGACAAGGATTAGGAATAAATTAAGCTACTATATTACAAACTATTAAAATTACAGACACAGACAACAATTAGGAAATGAGAGTGGGGGCGAGAATCAGAGTAGGAAGGCAGGAATTAGAGTAGGAAAAGAAAGACAGGGCTATCAGAGCTGCCTTAAAAGGAAGGTTTTATTACATAAAATGAAACCTAATTAGAGGAGCTAGAATATGTCATAATCTGAAACGGGCTCTTATTTTTCCATAAATTTTACTAGACGAATCAACGAATTCAACTGCAATGTTCGTGGGTATTGGCATAACTCTTGGCATCGTGCTTATTGTCTTAGTTGTAATTCTCACAATATACAAAAGACGACGCCAGGCCCAGGCGAAGTTATCGACTACAGTAGACACGGTTGAAATGCAAAACCAATCACTAGCAAAACCATCGCAAAATGATCAGGTATGTATTTCGTGACGTATAACATTGAATAGAACGAAAGAAACGAGTCAGTGTTACTAATTAAAGAAGGAAACCGGAGTACTCGCGGAGAAAACATTTGTGTGTTTTTAATTACAACTTTTAGCACAGGAATTAGATTATGTTAGTTACTAATATGATAAAAAAATATATCTGAGAAAAACACGCTAAAGTAGTCAGAGAAATGTATATCTTGAGTAAATTTGATATAATCTAATTGTTGAGTTTTTATGTCCATATATAAAATGAGAACTTTTTGCTTCTTGTCACGTATGCAGGGACGCTGGGACGATAAAAGGGCAGCTGATGGTGGAAAAGAATCATACGACGATGTCCGAATCTCGCCACCAGAAGTTTACACAAAACTTGACAGAAACCAACAAGACGAAACAACAGATGATGCCTACGAGAAATTGTTAAAATGCGACGCAGATTATGCAATTATGCCGAATGATCCTGAAGCAGAATCATTATACGAAGAAGTTGGATAAACAATGTAACTTATAGTGTTACAAAGTTACCTTTAAAGTTACATCTGCAGGTTTTAATAATTACATTAACAGTGAATTCAATTAAATTACTTTCAAACACTCAATAATTCATAAGCTTTTTACCTGTTAATTAAATCACTCGTAATGCGTCACGTGCAGTGACTTTATATACCTCATAAAACACTGTCGTAAAAGTTGCGTTAATTGTATGTAGGAAATATATATAATTTAGACTGTAAATTAAATGTTTGCGGGCAAAATATGTAGTTGTTTTTGCCAAAACGTATAATGAACGGATGGACGAAGTTAGGTTATCGTAAGAAGCTAACGCAGATTGAACTGGAATTGAATTGATGTATTTTAGAGAATTGTTCAATTGTTGTAACGCAATTATAATAAAGAAAATATATAACCGATAGATATACAGTCCCTTGATCGAAGGAATTGCGAACCAGCGTGTGCAAACTTCCTTGACGGTGTGGACTGTATAGGTAAAGTTTGCGAAAAACACTCCTACTTAGTATTCTTTATATAAAGAATACTAATGAAGTCGCGTTTGAAACCGTTTAATAAACTCACAGTACCCGTTTTATTAGGTCTGAAACCACTCGCGCTATACACGCTCGTTTATTAAACTGTGCATAAAGAATAGGATAACCCAACTGCAAGCCGGCAAATAGACTGGGCGGGGAGTTATATATTATACAGTGGATCAGTTTATCAACCACACTAAAATATAAAAGTTGATAGAATAAACAATAGGAAGTACTATATTTAACGTGAAAATGTAAGGGAAAAAGTAATAAAGGTGCATGAATGCTGGTCAGAAAAGTGACGCGTTATCGTTCCATTTTAAGCCAAAATGCAACTAGTTACAGTAATTACCTCTTTGCAAAACACAACTAGTTACCGTTACAGTTACTTAAAAAAGTAACGATTACTACTTGTATATGTAACGAAGTTACTTAATTGCCACATGCAGGAGTAAAAGGAAGATTGTCATATAAGCTGGACCCTTTTTATCATTTTAGAATTAAAAGACTCATCCTCTTGAGAAAGCTTTATTTTCCTGCTTTCTTATATTTTCTCACATTCTTGACATCCCTTTTTTTGAGAAACACAATATTTTATATGAAAATCAATATGGTTTTCGCGAAAAACGCTCAACTCAACATGCCATAATTGACATTGTAAATCAAATTCAAACAAATATGGATAAAAACATGTATACGAGTGGTATTTTCATTGATTTACAGAAAGGATTTGATACAGTAAATCATTCCATATATATTATTACAAAAATTACAGCATTATGGAATACGTGGAATTATTAATGATTGGTTCTTGTCATATTTATTAACGCTTCAAACAACGCAGTTGGTACTGTAGTATCAGATAGACGGTGCTATCTGGCGTACCTCAAGGATCGGTTTTAGGACCACTGTTATTTCTTATTTATATTAATGATATATTATATATAACTCTTCTGATAAATTAAAATTCTCTTTGTTTGCCGATGATACCAATCTATTATATGCTGACAATGATCTATAAGGTCCTTGGAAACTACTGTTAATCACGAACTAATCAAATTATATAATTGGTTAACTGCAAACAAATTATCTCTTAACGTTACAAAATCTAATTTTGTCATTTTCCACTCTCACCAGAAAAGGTTAGATTATCAGGTAGATCTGAAGATATTCGACTCATTATGCCTTTGCCCTAAGCAGTTGCAATTTTTTAAAATGGTAATTACAGACACAGTACTAGCAATTAGTGAAAGAAACATAGCATATTAATAGTATATGTATAGAAATACATGCATGCAACCCTGGCCTATATTTTCTAAACATTCTTTCAACATGAAGTACGCCTGCAGGCTTGCGTTGCTCACGTCATGTTAGCCATGAGCATTGTATTTTTAAATTTTTTTGTACAAAAAAGCAATTGAAAAAATAAATAAAAGTTTAACACTTTTTTCACACTTTTAGCTAAAGAACTATCGATATCTAAAAATATTAAGCAAGTAATCATATGTTATTTTGCATTCTACGGTTTTTAATTTTAATGCAAAATTCAACACAAAACGCTGCATAAAATCAACGATTTTAAATGTTCACTGTTAAAGTTTCATTTTAAACTGCTCCCCCCCCCAGATTATTGAAAGCATGCGCATATAGTGTTTACTTTTTCGACGAATCGGATCACAGGCGGCCTAATCTTGCAAGGGTCAGTATAGTAATGTAGATATCATAGTAAAAATATGTTATTAAATAAATATTTTAAAATGAAATCTACTTGCCTATTTGACAGTGTGTGTGTTCTCCTTTTATTCCCTTTTTGTTGGACTAATATTTTTCGAGACTTTATGCTCGATGCTTGTGAGTTGTGTTCCGGCGGGTTGGAGCCTTAAATTGCTGGAGAACAGAACAGCAGAACTGTATGTGAGTATTTATGATATTGTAGTTATTTCAGATTGCGAATAGTCTCGACTCGATATGTCAGCGAATTTAAGACTATCCTGGGCTGGCCGACTTTGATCGTTTGAAGGAGTTTGTAAAGAGTGACCTAGAGTTGCAGGGAAGCTGGTCATCCCCGGCGAACGAGAAAAAACTTTTCGTGTCAGACAACGTTGAGTTGCTTTGGTGGAAAAACAAAAAGTTCCTAAAGATCAATGGAGAGGATGCAAATCGAATCAAACGTTGTATGATCAACGCTATGTTTACGAGTTTAAACCTCGATAGTATCAAGTCTGATGTGGACATGGCTACTAACACCGAGAACTCCTTAAACAAAAACCAACCAACAAAACACCAGTGTACGGGTTGTGAATGTTCGAAGCTATCACCAGACTTGGAGGGTTTGAAATTAGACTTGGTTGTTTTGGAATCGAAACTCAACCATAAAATCCAAGCCGTGGAAAACCAAATATTACGCATGAACGATTGCCGACCAAAAGAGCCGAAAAATCATGCAAATCTCGAAAATATGTTGACAACCTCTACACCCATTAGCAGCGGCGGCACGAACAAAACAAAAGAGGTTAGTAATTCAAATCCTCACATTAATCCCGTTGTTGTTCGGACCGCTAACGATGCATGCTTCACACCAATAAAAGTACCGGATAACACAGAAACTTTTATGGCCATAGATCAGTCATGCGAGAAAACGTCACACCATGATTTGGTGCCATTGCCAAAATCCATCAATCACTCACAAGAGGAATTAACCCTGACAAAGGTAGTTTTCCCTGTTAGGAACAATAGTGAACAGTCGAAAATAGGCGAGCTTTCCCATACGGGAAGCCGTACAAATCCTATTCAAAAAGAACAAAGCTGTCATTATAATGTTCCTGGTAGGCAATCTTGCTCTAGTTATTTACATGATCGTGGTCAACAATTTCGAAGCATTCCAGTACGTATCACTCACCGTCCACTGCCAGTAAACCCAGAGAAAGTAAATAAACATAGACGTGCGTACCGAAGTCAGGTTTTTCGACATCGACATCAGACGGACTGGCTCAGGCATCTGGAGCTGGTCCGCAAAGTAATTCGGTCATAAACTGTTTCTATTCTAACTAATTGTTGTGCCTACGGTCCCTTCTACTTCTAAATGTGAACTTACAAACTTATTTGATTTTCCCCTTCTTAATGCCAGATCGGTTAGAAACAAGACTATGATTATTAAAGATTTTGTTGTGGATAAAGATACTGATATTCTTGCTTTGACGGAAACTTGGCTCCCTCCAAGTGGGAACGATTTGATTATTGGGGATCTATGCCCAACAGGTTATAGTTTTCCGCATACACCGAGACATGGATCAATCGGTGGGGGCGTTGGTCTCTTATTCAAGGAAAGTCTTAATATTAAGCGTAATGTACAGGAGGTATTTAGGTCATTTGAATACCTTGACAGTTCTTTTTTGAACTTTCTACATATTAGAATTATTGTTGTATATCGGCCGCCTCCTTCATCGGCTAACTCATTGACATCTACTCTATTCTTTGAAGAGTTCTCATCCTTTTTGGAAGGAATTATTGTATCACCCGGGCAACTCTTGATAGCTGGAGATTTCAATTTTCATCTGGACAATCCTAATGACCCTCTTACCAAACGGTTCGTGGATCTTCTCGCTTCCTTTGATTTGAAGCAGTACATTTCTGGATCAACACATGCAAGTGGTCACACACTGGATTTAATTATAACGCGATCTGAAGAAAACATTGTTAACCATTACAATATCTTCGATCCTCTGATTTCTGATCATTCAGTTGTGCATTTACAACTATTGATTAGGAAACCGAAGTTCGTGAAGAAACACTTGCTTCTTCGTAATTTGCGGGCGGTTAATATTCATAAATTCAAAACGGATGTACTAAATTCTTTTCTTCTTAAGAATTTTACGACTATGGATTTGGTATCATTGGTGAATGAGTATGATTGTCTTCATACTATCTTAGATAACCATGCACCGATTAAATCCCGGGAAATTACATTGCGCCCTAAGGCACCCTGGTATACTAACGAAATCAATGATAAGAAACGAATTCGGAGACAACTTGAGAGAAAATGGCATAAAACAAGGACGAATGCTGATTGGAATCGCTATAAACAACAATATTATGCTGTAAATAAACTTATCGACTACTCAAAATCGGCTTACTATACCGACTTAATTAATAATGGATCATCTGATCAAAAAACCCTTTTCAAGACTGTAAGCAATTTGCTGCATACAAATACGATTATTCGCTATCCATCTTCTCCTGACCCAATGTCACTTGCCAACTCATTTAGTGATTTCTTCACTCAGAAAATTGTTAAAATACGAGGTGATATCGAAGATGAACTCTTGAGTAAAAACATAGAAAATCCTATACCTGATGTTGATTCATGTCCTTATGAATTTCACACCTTCAGGGAGGTTGGAAAAGACGAAGTGCTCCATTTAATCCAACGTATCGCAACTAAATCCTGTTCTCTGGATCCACTCCCGGTGGTCATGCTAAATCACTGTTTTAAAGACATCTTACCCGTTGTAGCTAGAATAATCAACCTCTCCTTGGAAAGTGGTACAATGCCTGACTCTTTGAAGATTGCTGTTGTTCAACCGTTATTAAAAAAGTACAATCTTTCCTATGAAGAATTCTGCAGTTTTCGTCCAATATCAAATCTGAAATTTGTCTCGAAATCTATTGGGAAAGCAGTTGCTGTACAATTAACTGATTATCTTACTGAAAATCATCTACATGAGAAATTCCAGTCTGCTTATAAACCTTGTCATAGTACTGAAACAGCGCTATTGAGGGTTCAAAATGATATCCTTCAAGCTCTAGATAACGGTGATTCTGTTATTCTTGTCTTACTGGATCTGTCGGCGGCTTTTGACACCGTGGATCATTTAATGTTATTAACAAGACTATCGAAACGCTTTGGCATAAGGGGTCGTGTGTTGGATTGGCTTACCTCATACCTTACATCCAGGAAACTGTTCATTCGTGTTGAGGGAACTGATTCGTTATTGAGTGATCTTGATTGTGGTGTACCTCAGGGATCTGTGTTGGGTCCTCTGTTGTATTCACTCTATACTGCCCCTCTCGCGGATGTGGCTAGGCGCCACAATCTGCGCTTTCACTTTTTTTCTGATGATGGGCAACTTTACATTGCATTCAAAACGAATGATCGTGATGATTTAATATCATCTAAGATCCGTATGGAGAAATGTATACTTGAATTGGGAAACTGGTCGATGTTGAATAAATTGAAACTAAATAGTGGCAAAACGGAGCTTATATTAGTCCATTCACGCTATCATCTGATGCCTCCCCTAAATTATATCATGGTGGGAAAGGAAAAAATTGTGCCAACTGTTTCAGCAAGAAATCTGGGGGTGATTTTTGATGAGTGGATCAGATTGGGCGAACATATTAATGGTATCTGCAAGTCAGCTTACTACCATATTAGGAATATTTCAAGAATTAAGAAGTATCTACCTCGAAATTGCTTAGAAATAATTATTCATGCATTTATAACTTCAAGACTGGATTATTGTAACTCCCTGTTGTATGGTGTACCCAAATATTTGCTTCAGAAGCTTCAGAGAGTCCAAAATACTGCAGCTCGTTTACTAACTGATACTAAGAAATCGGCGCATATCACCCAGTTCTTATCGAATTGCATTGGTTACCTGTCCAATACCGTATTCAATTCAAGATTATACTTCTTGTCTACAAAGCTGTTAATGATCTTGCTCCATCGTATCTGAAGGAACTTATGCTGTGTCGTACTTCGCAGCGTACTCTTCGATCAAATGGAAATGAATTGCTCCAGATTCCTTATTCTAGACTAAAGACATACGGAGACAGATCGTTCTGTGTTGCTGGACCAAGATTGTGGAATGATTTACCTGTTCATCTTCGGATGTGTGAATCATTAACCATTTTTAAGAAGTTTCTTAAAACATATCTTTTTAACTTGTTTTTAAATAGTGTATGATGTATTCTATAGTTTTAACATTCTTAACACTAGTTTTAAGATTGGATTTTGTATTACTGTAAAGCGCCTAGAACAGTCTTGGTTTGTGCGCTATATAAATGTTTATTATTATTATTATTATTATTGATGCTTGCGGCCGCTAGTATAGTATACATAATACATGATAAAGGAAACAACTCCAAACAAATTCTCCCCCTCAAATCGCTTTATTCTCCAAAAAAATTGTTGTTGTCCATTGTACTTCTCGCTTAATGATATTTGCATGCTGTGCGCTGGCGGCGTCCTCACCCAAAAAAAAAATCACAACGATAAAGGAGGCCTGGTTGCCCATGCATTCGCGGTAACTGAATCTTCGGTCTTTGTAAGTTCAATATAAATTGGATTTTGACTTCCATTGTCAAAAAAATGGTCCAAAACGTATACATCTCGCCGAAGCATCTCGGTATTTTCGAAGAACAGCGTCTGATCCACAAAACACACTGTTTCCCTCGGTCTCAGTAAATGAGTGATAATTAATCCTGTACTTCTATACTTCAGGATTTCCCATATTCAATAAATTCTTATCAATTGTTTCTTTAAAAACTGGAAAAAAGTTTTACAATTTATTGTGTGAAACGATTTCCCAAGCTTCTTTTACAATTTTTTAAAATTTTTGTCGCCTTCACTCCTGCGAAACAGCCATATTTTTGAGATCAGTGAGATGACCACTCATATACAGCCATGAACCATCATGCATGTGCGCGCCGATTATTGATTTTACAAAAGAGGACATAAATTTCACGAAAAACATTTCAATTTCTGGTTTTCAAAAATAAACAGGAGAGGAAATAGAACCTGTATACATGTCAAGGGAAATTGTTGGTCTATATACAGTACGCGCGGCTTAAATTACTAACTAATTTTGCAAACATCGCTTGCGGAAAACAATTTATTAATAATTATTATAGTTATTTGATGAAATCTTAAGGCTGCAGGTTTACACTGTAAATGTCGTGTCTATCAATTATTGAAGTGTGCTTTGAGCAAAGTGTACGCATGTTTTTAAATGTTTATACTACAAACAATCCCTGAGTATTTTGACTCAAAAATGTGCTTAAAATAATGCACTCATGCAAATTTAATAAAAAAATGTCATTTTGCTCATAAATTTGAGTCACTGTGAACAAGTTTTTGAGTCAACATTTTTTGCAGGAGAATCACCAAAACTTTCATTGCATAAACCAGATTTTAAACACCGGATGAATGTCATTTGCATACGATTGAATATAATTTGCATGTGAATATTCGCATTTGGATATCCGGATGAATATAATTTGCATATTTTCTAAAATATTAGAAATTCAACGAATATGCATTGCTAACAATAAACTTATTCAGTATTTAAAAGCTCCCCATTGCGAAGCTTTAAGTATGAAATCTTTGAGTGTATTCTCGTCAAGGTTTTGAAATGCATCTGTCTGTGTTACTGCAGTCATGTGATTGACACAAAACTTGAAACAGAATTCTTCCAAGTCCTAAAAGAACATGAAACAAATGTTAATTTGCAAAATTGGTGCCTATTAAGGTGGCTCCGTACACTTTTCATCATTGTGAGACTGGTACCTAATCTTGTGTTTTCGCGCGAAAATGTTAAAAATATATGCAAAAATAAATACAACTTTTTCAGTCGAAAATCCGAACCACAAGCCATGTTTATTTTGATGTTTTGAGTCTTCCTTGTTCTCAAAAAAACAAACTTCGTCCTGATTTAGCCCTGAACATTGAATAACTAGTCTTTTCAGAAGACATTTTAGGGTACAAAATGCAAAGTTCAACGTTCAAACTCTCGTGAAAACCGCCGATCGGCCCGACCGGCGAAAAGTTTTTTACTCCAATATTTGGCGATTTACAAGTTCATATCCAGAGTTTTTTGTACTTACAACTGGTAAATGTATTCAAAGTGTTACTAACTCCAAAGAAATTCAGTGAAACAGCATCATGCGCCGGCTCAAACTGTTTTAAATTGTCAACAACAACATGAAAACACACAAGTTACGACTGAAAACGAATATAAAACTATGTAGAAAAGTCAAAAAGTTCATACATGTCACACATATCTTATACCAAACGACCGACATCACCTGTTGTCTTGGTGTTATCCAGAGTTAGCATGCAAAACTAAACTGATATATTTGCATTTCTAAGCAAAAAAAAAACACAACATATATTTGATTTTTCGACGAGACTAAAAACTTTTTTGTGCGTGTTTTTCTGGAGATGCGCCTGCGAAAACATGTACGCGCATGTCAATTCATTGATCTTGCAGAGCTCGAAAAACTTTCGGCCGAGCGAGTGAGATACCACAATAAAACAGCGTAATTCAAAATTTTGCACGGTGACATGTCATGAAATTTTGCACAACGATAAAAGACCGGTCATTATATATGGCAGGGGTGGGGGCCGAAGAGAAAATGGTGGGGTAACTGAAAAATAATAGTTGCTTTAGGTGGGGTGGCCAAAAAATCCTTGCATGCAGAGGTGGGGTAAAAAAAATTGCCTTACTTTAATCACACACAGTACAATATATACTACAATCAGAGTTTAATATGTGATTATTCTAATTTTTTAATAAAATATTATTGCTTTCCAAAACGTTGACAGAAACACCCCCCTCAACCCACCCGTAAAGGGTCATTTTTATATTCATTTACACACAAAATCTCCAAATGACTCCAATTACCAGACAAAATATATACAGCCGATATATAGGGGCTGTTTATATCGTGCAACTGCAAGCCAACCCCAGGGTACCCAAGGTGGCTCAGTTTTGGTGAGATCCTGCCTTTGTTGTTATTTCTTACTAAAGTTCACTTTGTGTATATATGGGTAAAGAGCGGGCCCAGCTATAGCTAAGCGAGATCCCGCCCCTTTAGCCCGAGATCTTGCTTCAGGAAAAGTGACCTTAAGTCTGTAGCCCCTAACCCCGGGAATCCAGCCTCGCCCCCATATAAACATCCTCTTATTACATATCTCAAAATGTATATGTACAGTATATTAACTTTTCAGGATTTAATTTTTGGGCATCTACACTTGATACTGCATAAGTAATATTTATATCCAGTATGTGCTTGTAAATCATGTGGACAATTCAGGTAGCAAATCATGAAATATGCCCCATATGCCCCTTGTGAATCTGGAGAATCATTCCAATGGCTAGTTCACAATATGTTCAACTCTAGTCTTTGGCAACTAGCTGTTTTTCTTTACTAGAGATCATGTATACATGGATAAAATAAGAGAAATCTATTTACCCGTTTTACAGATTAATTTAATTGTTTATATAGTCATACTTGGAATTCGGATGAATATCTTTATCTTCACACTGTATAACAGCAACTTTTTCACATTAATTTACAGTCACTTTCTAAATTCAGATATTCTCAAATGGGACAAATACTTTTAATTAGTATCGTTGTATTGTTTATGAATTAAAATATTAAATTGATTTCAAAAACTTCAAGAATTCCTTGGGAATTCTTAAGGAATTCCTTTAAAATTCCGTGATAATACATGTGATTGTCTATAGTAAGGAAATATTAAAGGAATTTCAGAGGACATTTTAGAATTTAGATAGTTGCAATCATGGGTGAGCACATATTTTGTGAAACTGTTTCAAAATAAAATTGCATTTTAATTAATAAAGAAATGCAAGAATGTGAAAGAAACCAAATTATATACAGTGAAACTTTAAAATGGGAAAGAGATAGGGTGGTGAAATACGGTTAGTTTTCTAAAATATTGAAGCATATGGTTATAAATATATGTTTATGGGACTAGCATTGCGCTATCTCGTGAAAAGGGAATATAGCGTTGAATACAAACTATAAAAACCCATTCATATTGCAATTTTACAAGTAGACAAATTTTAAGCCTTCAGATAACTATAATTCTTTATATAGTACCTTGCTATTGTAGGGGTAACCCATAATATAAAGGCATGACTGTTAGTGTGCTTTAATTAATCCACAAGAAATAAGGGGCAAGGGATATTGGTAAACAAGTATTACCAATCAATCCTATTCCCTTTTAATTATAATGTCCACTGTGGTCAAAGCACCCTATAATAATTATTATTTACTCTCTAACAGCAGATGATCTTACTCACCAAGGGAAATTTTGTACCTTGATGAGTAATACGCATGCATACAAAATACTAAACTGTTTCATTACATATTTTATGTCTGAACCTTTGACATTGCAACAAAATAGGTTTGGGTGGGGTAAAAAATTTTCTGGCATTCCACCAGTGGGGTAGCTAGAAATTTTGTTTCGAAAAAGGTGGGGTAATGATTTTTTCCGGCTTCATTATACTTTCTCTTCGGCCCCCACCCCTGCCATAAATAATGACCGGTCCCTAACTTCTTTTAAAACAAATAGAATATCAAAATTGAAAAAAAATCTGTAGATTGGAAAACTCTAAATCCGCAATTTTTTATTCTGGCTATTCTAATCTACAGAATTTTTTTATTTTGAGGGATAAGATTCCACATTATAAGTGAAGGCTATACAGCAGTTAAAAATGGGGTGTCACCGGCAATATTCGGAAAATAAAGAATAAAAACCTGCTTAAAATAGCAAAAAATACCATATTTGGCGAGACTACTGTTACCATGGAAACAATATTATGTTCAAGAATATTGCAAATTTTTTCTACCAAATACTTAATTTATACTCGGGAATGCTTAAAATTAATAGATGGAGTGAAAAAAATTATAAATTGAAATTTTTACGCAATAAGGTATTTATACTACGGAATTGTATGGAGCCACCTTAAACGATGCGTCGTATTGCAACGATCCGTCGTATTATATATTCGACAATTTTTCAACCATATTTGAACAAAATTTGGAAAATGTACCAACCAAAACCGTATAACAAGGTAATGAAGCGAATCGTCTAAAATCATGCGAATCGTCTATATACCGTAAAACGTAAAATCTACTTAACTTAACAAAACGACAGGCAAAATAACTAAACAAGGTAATTCGTACATCGTTATAATTTGTTGATGTGTGATTGAATAAAACCGCACCAAAACTCTATCAAATTGCAAATAAAACCTATAGTATGTTTAAACGTACATTGGTTGTCTTCACAGTATCCATTAATTTCTTTATTTTTTGGTAAAACTTTTCGAGATTTAAAGAAAGTTCAACTTGTTGGGCTTGTTCACTTGTTGCTACGATACGGCATTTAGGGGAGTATCATGCAGGACAGGAAAAACAGTTCTTTCAGGACAGAGAAAACAGTTCTTTCGTAAACAAAGTGAATATAATAAAGTGGAAATTGTACTTTGTGTCGCGCAATTGTAACAGTCGTAATCATGCGTTTGATTTCAGACCAAATTGCACTCTACTCAGTGGAATTACCATTATAAATTACCATTACAATACACCCTTTCGATAATTACATCACACATACTTTTTGGTCCTGGAGCCTCGCTCTTATCAGTAAATTACGCAAGATGATTGGCTCACGATTCATGAGAACGAGGCTTCCAGGCCAAATGACGTAATTATCGAAAGGGTGTATTGATTGAATCGCACAATTTTCCATGTAATGCATGAAGCAAAATTAATTACGATAAAATAGCTTCTTACTTCAGCATCGTATTTAAGAGCAGCTGCCAACAACATGATTGCATTTTGAACTGTGATGCCATTCTTAATAATCATCTCTGACAGTCGTTTTAGTTGAGGTTCACAGTACGCGTTAGCCAGGTCAAGTAGACCTGAAAAGATCAATATTATAAGAGTATAAAAATAAAACACTTGCAAGCCTTTAACAATCCTGTAATACGAGGTTATATACTAACATGCACAAAGCAGTGGCCAACTTTCAGAGTGTATTTATTTTAAATATGTTTGATGCGAAACCAGGATTATTCATATTGAGTATAGACGTTCTCTGGTTAAAATATTTATGCATCACTTTCATTATAATCTACCCGTTGAAGACTGTAGACTGACAGTCGAAAGCTTGTGAAAAATAAATATTTTAACCAGAGAATGTCTATACTCAATATTTCAGAGTGTACAGTAGTTTTAGATTCGTTCAAATGCGACGATAAATTGGGGGGGGGGGATTGTCAGCAGACAGTGTTGCGTATCTTGCGTGCATCTATACTCAGAGAATCTACTGAACTTTGTTCTAATATAAAGCTCTATTCTCTACGTTACAATTATGTCTCCCATTGAATTGAATTGTCAAGTATTCTGAAATCAATATATGACACTGTTAAAAGAGGTTTATTAAGATCTTAACATTTTTCTCCAAGTGCCGCCACAATACAGGGAACGCCGTTTCACCAGACCCCCCCCATAGAAATGTGACTCCCACATTATTAAGTTGATCCCCCCCCCCAACAAAAAATAAAGACCTGACGGTACAATTGGCACAAACAGAAAAACATGCAGATACGGTTAGGGCACCATTCCTCACAGCTAAGCCAACTCTGCCGAGAGTAGGGTGCAATTTTGGTTGCATGGGTTTCAATTTGATGCTCTCAAAAACTTGTGTAAGTAGAGTTTGTTTACATGGCGGCAGACCCATGCAACGATGATATCGCCATAGTTAAGGACTAGTCATTATTTATCGTTGTTTAGACGAAAAGCCATAATACGTGAGCTCCTATATTATATGTGTTATCTTTTTTCTCTACTATTTTTGGTTCTCTTGGTGGTCGCTAGACGTATACGCATGTCTACCTTCTTTTATTTTTCACATTACTCGGTCTCTTGTTCTTTAGAGAAAATATATTTAATATCTCCTGTAACATTCCCCTGTAGCCTAATGTTCCCCCTAATCATCACGCTTTCTCTTTTTCTTTCTGAAACAAAAGTGATCAGTGTTTGCGAGTCGTTTTACTAAATGTCTTTCATAACGAATATCTTTCTATTATGCCTCCTAAAATGCAACCTCGCCAATGTGAAAAATAAGTACATTATTTTGAGGCATCTCGGGGATATGTGTTCATTCACCTCGGCGCTTTGCGCCTCGGAGAATAAGTCACATATCCCCTCGTTGCCACAAAATAACATATACTTAAAGATTGGCTACCGCCACATGCAACAATATATTCTATAGACAGATCATGTGATTCTCCGGATGCTTCGGTTTTTCTCTCTCGCTAACTAAAGAGTCTGGCTCGGGTAGATTTATAGCCGTCTGTAACATATACCCGTCTGTAAACAATTAGTACATTAAATTAACAACAATTTGATAAATTATGCACATGCATATATATATAATAAAATAATAAAACTCACCAATGGCATCTTCAGGTGCAAGTTCAACTTGATCAGTGTATATGTACCGAAGAAAAGCGTAGAAGACTGGATATGAATATGACGTAATCTTTATTTCGCTGAAAAGTAGAGTATACTCTTTTCTTCTCTTGATATATGTTATAATGAAAACAATTAAAACTTCGCACCATTGTCAGGTACGTTATTTGAATTAAGATTAATTGTCCTTAAAAACTTCAACCCCTATACAGGGTGTATAAAAAAAAACTGCACAGATTTGAAATTTGCTCTTAAATTCGCAAAACAGCTATTAGTATCCAGTTTTTTAATGTATATAGCTTCTTTGGGTACTTATAATGTAGAAAAATGGAAAAATATCTCGAACTCAAATTTTGTGAACCAGGGGTGTGTGTCTTTTCCAACAAACTAAAAATGGCTTGCGCACGAAATTTAAAAGCTTTAATCATATTTTAAGTTAACAGATGGAAAGTTTGTTGGGTGTTTAATTACTGTACACAATTTCAGACAATTTGCTTCAGTTTACGCCCTTTAACCATTCACGCAAACTTACATTTTTTCTTAAAAAATCGTCCATTTGCATGCTAATCAATGCCTTTGCCTAATTTGCATACGTCAGCAATATGCAAATTAGGTAAAGGCATTAATTAAGCATGCGAAAGGCTAATTTTTTAGAGAAAAATGAATAGTTAAAGGGGGGCTTAAACTAAAGCAAATTATCTGAAATTTTGTACAGTAATTAAAAACCCAACAAATGTTCCATCTATCAACTCAAAATATGATTGAAGCTTTAAATTTCGTGCGCAAAGCCATTTTTATTTTGTTGGAAAATACACCCCCCCCCCTGGTTTACAAAATTTGAGTTCGAGAAATGTTTTCCATTTTTCTACATTATAAGTACCCAAAGAAGCTATATACATAAAAAACTGGATACTAATGGCTGTTTTGCAAATTTAAGAGCAATTTCAAATCTGTGCAGTTTTTTTTTATACACCTTGTATATGCATGTCATTGCCATTGTACTATTCGCGCTTAAGATCATCTAGGGGCGAAAAACGCAATGGACATGCGCATGCAAAATCGAGGCATGCATGGAAGTTGTGTTTCGGAAAATGGTATGAAGCGTTAGAAAAGAGGAATAAACACGTCTATTGTGCTTTTCGCACTTAGAGGTCTATCAACCAAAAGATCTGCATTGCAATTGTTTTCCTACTGCAGCAAGTAAAAACATACTGGGGGAACTTATGCTCATGCATATAAACAGTTTCTGAAATTGATAAGAAAATAACGGAAAACTTATAACGTTTGCTCTTTTCAACAAACCATGCAATACCGAAAAGATAAAAAAGATAATATATTGTAACATATACTTTTGGCCATCTTCTGGCCAATGATCTTGAAACATCGCTTTGAAGTATTCACATCTACAAGGAGAAAAGGTAGGCATCATGTGGGAGTTCCACTTTACATCACTCATTTTATTTCAATTACATGCGGACGTCGCCCGATCTGTTGTATCTGTTAAACTATGATTCGTCACGTGACTGGCGTAGAGTGATAAATCAAGAACTCGAACACATACTCGTAGACAATTAAGTTCTCTAACTATACTACTATACGTGACGGTTCCATTTGGAAAGTACACTCGTTAGTTCGGTAAAGCAGAGGAAAATACTTGGTTTCCCATTGGCAAGTGTTTAATATACACTTAATGTCTGCTCCCGAGGGAAATAGTTTGTTTTGTTTTCCCGAGAGTCTCAATGTTTCCCGGGACGAAGTCGCGGGAAACATTGAGATTCGAGGGAAAACAAAACTAACAATTTCCCGAGGGAACAGACAGTCATTAAGCGTTTTGTTATATAGCGACGAACAAAAATTAACATTCAACAACATTCATACAACAATTGTATTTCGTGACAAAAACGCTTTAGTGTAAACGAGTTTAAAATTAAAAGAACCTACTTACACGCACTGTTAATTTCGGGGAGTTAATTTAACTCCGGTGGAGTTATACTGTACCTCAATTAATTCCAAATGTGGAGTAAAATTAGGATCAGAATAATACCACTGGAGTTAAATTAACTCCCTGAAATTTACAGTGCGGTTTCAGCAGTATATATATATCCTGTTGTGTATTTTTCTTCTCTTTCGCATTCTTTATTTGAACACAAACTTGGAAAATCGTAGTTTCTAATTATGCTAGTTGTGCCGCCATTTTGTTTATTTATGTACGCAGTCAGTCGGGGCTGGCAACGATTTTTCACTTGTTGCCCGGCGGGATACACTGCATTTATCCGATGTCACGTGACCACAAATCAGCCAATCACGTTTGGTGTTCACCCTAGCTATATAACAATATGTACTTTTCTGACTTGGAATGAGGCGCAATTATACATTACTGCATGGGACCATCTTTCTTCAACCTGAAACAAATTTAAATAAACTTTCCTCACCTGATTTTCAATAAGGCTTTATGAACATACACAAATTTATCATCAATCACAAATGTGACATCACTTGTTTCCTAAAATGCAAGAAAATCGACTAGATTATGGCCAACAAGATGAGACATGAATGAAAACACGTTTTAAATAAATTGTATAACACTTGTCAGAGATTGAAGCAATTCATGCGAAAACGATATTCTAAAGGCCGATACACACCTGCTCGCTGTTCGACAACACAACTCGATATTTCAGATTTTGAAAGTTAATAAAACAGTCAATGAAAGGAAATTTTAAAAGATATGTAGATAAAATAACTCAAAATGTTATAGCGCTTCAAAATATTTGGAAAATTTAAACCAGGATCAAAGTTATCGGTCAGTGAAAATCGAAAAATCGCGCCGCGTGTCGAATCGCGCCCGGTGTATCTCGGCCTTAATGAAGCACACGCAGAATTTGCCCGTCACTTTATATAAATAGAATTTCAATTCGTATTATATTAATTTGTTTTGTCAATTGCGGTTGTATAATTTGCTTTTCGTAATTTCAAAGTTCCAGTATATATTTCGGATTAAAAATAATGCAGTACAAACCTTATCGTTAAATGACATTGCTATCGTTTCGGAAACAGTCTTTAATGTCTTTTTATTACCTGCATCAAATAATAAAAAAATATTTATATACGAGTTTACAAAATATTCGTAGTCTACTTTGTAGAACAAACAATTATTTACTTCGGTTTTCGCATGATATGAAGAATTATCAAGCTGAAGTTCGTGTTAACACCTAAATTCAGCAATTGTTTTATTATTTATTTAAAAGATGAAACAGCAGTTGGTTGTAGGAAGCCATTTGTGTTGTGACACAATATTATTATTATTGTTTAATATTATATTTTCATATCAACGTTATGACGTCACTCCATTGAATATTATGTCAAAATTCCATATCTGGTCAGCTATTGAGTTGATACATATGTCTTCACTATTGAATAATGAACCGTCTATCCAGTAGTATTTTGAGAACAGTGGCATCATTCGACCGATCCATTTTCACAAGATCTACATAGTGCTATCCACGGCAGAAATTTCTTGTGACCTATACCTATAGTCAATGGTCGTGACATTGATGGAGAAGAAGACAGACAGGCATATGCATCATCAGCACATTTGAAGTTTGTAGCCATCAATGATGTCACTGACTGCCCTTTGCAAAGACCCCAAACATAAATCTAAAAAAAAAAAATTATCTAGAATTTAAATTAAAAGGCTCTGAATAAACAGAGTATTGAAATCTAATAAAATCTATACAGTATACACGTAAAAATGTAAAATATAATATCACCTTTCCTAATGCTGTAGTGGCCGAGGACATGTGACTGTAGTGGCAAGAGGTTACGTCAACGAATCTTAAAAAAGAGAAACAATATAACAATTTATTATATGGCTTTTCAAAATTCTCTATTCTGATTGGTTGACAAGCGGTCCGTAAAAACCCATATCCGGACCGTGGTCCGTATTTTCCGTATCTGGACCGGTGTCCCGGATGTCGTTTATCTGGCGGGAAATTTTTGCTTTCCAAACAGAAAAATTTTTTGCTTTTTAATTTTCCAATTGTGTGTCATTAAAATTTACAGATAAAAATTTCAAACAACTAAATTGTTTTTGATTGAGCATGCATGCCTACCGTATATTGTTACCCAGTGAAACTGACGATAACCGATTTAATTCGCGCGAAAAGCATATGCTCACAGAGTCAGTTCAGCCATATAATTAACCGATTATTGACCTCGCTTGTTCGGTCTGTACTGTGAAATATCAGACCTCTGTTTTTTGCATGGACCTCGCTCCTTCGTCGCTCGGTCCATACTAAAAAACCTCGGTCTGATAATTCACAGTACAGACCTCACGCTCGGTCAATAAGCCGTTACTATTTAGGGAGTGCACAGGATATCACACCGGCCGGATGCCGGATATTGTTTATATGAGCTTCAGGTCTTCTTTTCAGGTTAAAAACGTATTTGATAAGGTTAAAAAAGTGGGGGTGTTTATATAATATCCCTACATGAAATTATCATAGAAAGACTGTCAGTATTTTAAAGGTTTTTTTATGCGGCGAGATTGATGAACTTTTTACCACTGCACATTCCTTAAGCAATAGTCTGCCAGTCCGGAGATTACTGATTACCCCTAGGACATTTTGTAGACGACACCCTTTCGTGCTTGGCTACAAAAAGCAATCCATGGCAAACTTATCACTGCACAAATTTGTTATCACTGTACACAAAAATTAGCTATGGCAATATTGTACTGGATATAATGGATGAGCTTAATTAAAACATTCGACTGTGATACAGCAACTTTGCGGCGTCAAAATAAAACCTTACCTTCCTTTGTCAGTCGCAATTCTTGATGGAGTGACTAGGTTAGCTTTACTTCCGGTCCCTAATTGCCCATTTTGATTGGCTCCCCATGCGTAAATATTTCCGGTGTCAGACAATGCTAGTGAATGAGCATAACCACAGACAATCTTAAGGAATAAATACAATTAAAATGTCGATTAATTGTTTGATTGATTGAATCCTTCATTCATACAGCGCACCCTAATAAGAGGTACAACAAGAAATTACTAATTACGTTAGTGCATACTTACATTCAAAAATAGTAAAAATATTCAGAAATACCACTCGCCCAGTTAATCAGTTAATCTTTTCCTTTCTTAAACAGTATTAGAATACCGTAATATAAAATGATCGCACAAACGATTTAGTATTGAGTACTTTTCAGGCGACTACAATCACAAACCATTTTTGTATAATTTCCTTTATACTTCCTGGAAGTCGATTCGTGTTATTTATCTGCGCAGTTGAGCTCAAATTTCGCAGGTTAAAGTGCAGATTCTAGCCATAGGGGGTTTGTCGAATCGACGTGTCGCTCTTGCAGCACGCCAATTTTACCGACTCGAATCCTAGTATTGGCGAAACAGATTTAAGAATTGGTCATGCATTATGATCGATGGTTTTTCAATTTTCCGTGTTTATTTATGCGTTGCATAAAGAGAATCGAAACAGAGTAATCGAAACAGTAATAAAAAATAATAATAATAATAAAAACAAAATAATAATAATCGAAACAGTTGTGAGCAAACATTGAGAGGAAGTGTTAAATATTTTTGAGTTTTGCCAATTAATACTATATAGCTTGTGTACAGACTGTATTATGCAATAACACAGGCTAAATTAATATTATCATGTAATGTTTGCGCCTCGCTGCGCTAAGGAGCTCAAATTCGCCCATTCGTTTATTCACTCACTGGCTTTTATACTCGTTGCAATGCGAGTCGACTTGTAGCAAGTCTACCGATTCCCTTTAGAGTACATCTTAATGAAGACAATAGGTCTGCCTACCTTGGTAACAAAAGTGCCTATAAGCCCAGTAACTCGACATGGATTTGGTTGGTTTGTATTACACCCAAGGCCTAACTGACCATTTCCATTGTAACCCCAAGAATAAAGCTGAAATATTTTCAAGAAAACGTATCACATCAATACATACAAACATTTCCTAGAGTGCATGGGAGCTGCCTCGTACCCAGGCGTCTCTTTGTAAAAAAAACAGCGATGCGCATAGGACGAGTTTACATCAAGTATCTGGGTACGAGGCAGGCATGGGAGGACGTCATTACAAGGTAAGGATACACTTGGACTTACAGTACATGCAGCAGAGAATAATTAGTAAACTTCCATTAATGAAAAAACATTAAATTAAATTAATAAAACATTCCATCATACCTCTCCGTTATTATCTATCGCCATTGACGACGACTGACCACAAGCAATATTTACAATCTCTTTACTACCTAAATTTAGCACAAGATATAAGTACAAGTAATAAAAATACACGCGAGTTACATGTAACAAATCACGTTTTGCATACATTTATATGGATGGAGCAAATAAGATGAGAAACTCGCATATCGATTAAAATTTAGTGTTATATCGTATGAACTACAAGGAATTTTAATATTTTGAAAGCATTTTAAAGGGAATATCAATCCCCCCACAATATAAATCAAACATTGTCAACTTTGATCAATTTCTGGACAAACTGTTGATGTGTATACAGGAAAGTGCTCACGGAACAACGGCGAGTCACGTGACCCAGGTTTCATTCTTTTTTTGCCAGAAAGTTATAAAAAAGAAAAACGTGAGCAATTAAAGTTAAACGTCGGCAAGATACACGATTTCTTTTCGAATATTAACAAGCTTTCGTTGGTAGGGACGCAAATACCTGATAAATATAAGGATAATTTCGACGTTTCGAGCGAAGGTCCTTCGTCTGGAGTTACTAGCGGGGGTCGGGAAAATTACATGAGTTTTTATACTAAGAACATAAAAGCGATCACGTGACAAAAAAAAACACACCAATCAGATGGATTTAGTCAAAACAAAGTATAAACAAAAAATGTAAATCACATTACAGAATATATTAAGGAGGCTCCCTACAGTTGCGTGCGGGACGTTCGCGGGACCAGTATGTGAACTATCCCACGCAACCGCATGATCAAAACAAAACAAAAATTGACCACCTTTTTTTAAAAATAAAGCTATTTCTGAAAGGTTTCTAATGGAAAAAAGCGTTGAATAATACTTCGTTTTGAGTGTCAAATCACTTGCGAGTCTATACAGCAATTCTACATATGATACGAATATCACTAATCCAAAAAATAGCTGCGAAACAATGTTTTTTAATTTTTTTTAAATATACACTTTCAACTGTAAAACATTTGCAAAATTGCATACAAACGTTTAAAAAGTTATTTACTTCTCAAGAAAACGTTCACGTTTTTAGTCGTGTTTCTACAAGATTAAAGTGATTATATGTAAACAGAAAAATATTTCAGTTTCATAGCCTAATTGTTCATTTTTAGCAAAAAGTACAAAACCAAACATGAAACAAAAAAACACGTCCACCTGTTAATAGGCTGTTACAGCTCATAGATTGAGTAAACGGCAGGGTTTAATTAGCTTCAACCTTGTTTTCATCGATTTGATCCTTCACATTAATCCTTGGCTGTCCATGGCACTCAAATAAATCGAAAAGTTGACAAAAACAAAACAGTAAAAACAACATTTCCGCTCGATTTTGCTGAATGAAAACCCGTTCTGCGCCCGCGTACAATCTTTTACTAGTCAGCGACGCTTTTCAATAAGGGGAATTTCTCGAGTTACACGAGGCTATTTTCTAACTTTATTTGCATTTTACTCATTAGTTTCATCGGTGACCTATCTTCAAATTTTGACCACGAATTTATTTTGCGGTAAATCATATAAATTTCAATTTTTAAAAAAATCTGTAGTGTGGAAATTTCGCAATAAAATTTTCGCTTTTAAAAAAATCACACACTACAGAATTTTTTTAAACTTTCACCACAGTTGCAGAGCATCATTCCCTATTGATATATGAAATAAAAAGATAGGTCACCGACATCGTATTTGAGATAGCGGCACATTTATGGGTTAAATTGGAAGGTTTTGTGCTGTCGTCATGTTGCCATGGTAACACTGACGTTGTCGAAAGCTAGTTCGAAATATTCCTTAGGTGACCAATATTGTCACCAAGTCGAAACGAATTCGCGTTCTGCACAAATAAACCTGTTTTACGGAATTATTGGGTAAACAAGAATAACTGTAGGGAGCCACCTTAATACAAATAAACAGAAAATTACAGCAAATACAACAAAATACTGTATATGAAACAAGTATGGAATAAGGTAAGAATTAAAAGTACTGTCAATGTCGCGCTTTTGACAGGCAAAGACAGATAGAGTTAAACATAGGAAAAACATTCATTTATGCCATAGGGTGGAAATGAGGCGCATTTCATGTTTTTTGCGGCTATCGTTGCTTCCAGAAATGAGAGCTCGAAGAACCGTGAACTATGAACTAGGGTTTCATGAATATTTTTGCTGTGTCGAAATGAGACTAACGGTTTATTGAAGGAAATGGAAGATGTTTCAGGGTCGCTTTTCAAAATATGGAAATTCTCCCTAATGACATCTCTAACTTTGAAATGGAAAGGACGATAATGTAATACTAAGGGGATTTTGTTGTTATCTGCGACATTGGACACAGGGTCTGTAAGGTTCTCAGGTCGGGAAATTTGGGAGGCTTGGAAAAGGCAGTGTTTAATAGAGAGGTGGGGTAGCAACCTTGGACAAAACTATCTGATTTCCAGACTTTTGGCTTGGACGTCCTCCTCTGCACTGCAAATGCAGCGAAAGTGAAGGAACTAAGAGAAGGGTATCGACCTTTTGGTGTGGCTGGGGTGGGAAGAGGAAAATAGAAGATAGCTATGTGAATCAGTAGGCTTGTAGAACACAGAAGTAACTAGTTTTTGCCATTGATTGATACAAGGATATCTAAGAATAATACACCGGTCTCGTTGATCTCCCAAGTTAATAAAACGTTCCAATTCGACACGAGAACATGATGCTGTACCAAAATAGTCATCTATGTACCCTACCAAGGTAATCAGGGATGAGATCAGTGTATTGTTCGAAGATCTGTTTTTCCACAAAATCAACAAACAAATGAGCATAGTTGGGACCCATTTTGGTTCCCATGGCTACACCACTTATCTGTTGATACTGCTCGTCATCAAAGGAAACATTTTTGAGGATGAGCACTAGCTCGGCCAATTGGACCAAAACAGCAGTAGACCGTTCGTGGTTAGGGCCTTATGGCTTTATGCCTTAGCGCGCTTATAATACCTTTCACATGCCTAACGCTCCCAAATCCGAAACTGCATCGCTTGTTGCAGCAAAAATTGTCTCGTGTGACTGGGCTTAACGACGGCATCTACATTTCTTCACGAACTTACCAATGCCAGCCGTAACTTTTCTTGGAGTCGCCTGATTTACTGTAGATCCTGATCCAATTTGACCACTATTATTGTAACCCCAGGCAAAAACCTAGAACGTGAAATGTTCTAATAATAAGCGAATGTAAGATTCCAGGCAGACTGATCAAGGTATCAAGCAAAAGTAGAAAATGAACCACATTTGTTAAAGAAACTCAAACGTCTACTCAACGCCTACTGTACTTACCTCCCCTGAAGATATTAACGCAAGGGAATGGTTGCCACCACAAGCAATTTTCGTCACAGTTTTCCCAGAAAGAGCTCCGCCAACCAATGTTGGAACTTGGACAGATGAACTGCTAGCAAGACCAACTTGGGAATATGAATTTCCACCCCAACCATACACTTGACCTGATCCTAAGGAAGTAAAGAGGGAATATCTAAAAAACTTAAAAACCGTACATTCTCTAACTAGAAATATGTAAGCTCAGTATTACATGGGAAACCGTGAATGTTGATATTCGTCAGTCCTAACTCTATTTAACAAATAGAAAACATTTTACCGGACCGTTGGTGTTCGGTTAACTCCAGTCTTGAGATGAAACTTTGGGGAAATGCTACTTTTTTACTGAAATCTTTCGGGGATTTGCCTCTTGGCAGCGAGAAAAGATAATGAAAGGTAATTTTTTAACATATGTAAGATCTTCCATATACCTATAGATAAGGCAGAACGGCAGCCGGATGAGTCCAACAGATCAGCGAGTTAGCATGCTACCGCAGGGTAGTTCTCAAGTTCTCCTATCATCGTGCCTCGGCGTTCTATTGGATTAAGAATGTGTGGACCAAGAATGACAGACTGACTGTTTGTCACACGTAAACGGTCATCAATTTGAAAAAATTACTATATGGCCAATTTTGGATGAAAAGTTTCTCTATTTATTATGAATTTCACAAGGAGTAATATCGTGCCAAATTTATCCAGTATTGCACACGAACCAAAGTGGAAGTGATTCCGAAAGAGGTATAGATCAGCAGGTTTCCTGGGCAGCTCGTGTCTTTTTTATAACTACCCAAAAGAACTGCCAACATAAGTGAGACAGGAAGTTGATGGAGAAATTGTGCAACAGGTAGATGACTACGACTACCTTGGTAGCGTGTTTTCCAAAGACAATAGTATTGAACTGGATATCTCCGGGCGCATCCAGAGCGCTCCAGCAGCGCATTAAATTACGTAAATATACACAAGAACTTGATAACTAAATTAGGTATAAAGAAAAAGGGGCACAAACGAAACACAGCTACAATATTTCCGATATGGGAACAATATATGCATCAACACTGTTCATCCGATTAGATATTTTTCCATGTAATTTTAATGAGGAAAATTATATCAAGTAAATACTACTATTGCATTGGGTTTTTTAGGGTCAATTCCACAATGGTGAGGCTTTCAGGTTAGGGTTCCGTGTTTTGTCTGAACCACCGGTGTGGATAAGATTCTAGAATACCCAGAGCGTTCGATAAAAAGAATAAATTCTCACCTGTCAATGCGAGGACATGGGGTGCACTTCCAAACGAAAATGTTATAATGTTTAATTTCGATAACTTTTCGACTTTCTTCAGTTGAAGTGTACTTGTACCAGAAGTAAGAGCTAAACAGGCGTTAACGTTAGCTCCCAGGGCGTAGACATTATCTTCTTTCGTTAAAATGAAAGCCTCGTTACCACTTGGACCAAATACACAAACAGTTTTTGCCAATTGCAAGATGGAGTCATCCACCATATGAAAAATACACCACTTTCCAACATCTAACATTTTACTGCTATCTTCGCTATCTACCGGAATCTACTTTAACACCTACAAAAAAATATTAGAGATACATGTCCGAATATTTATAATATATAGTAGTGGATTAACAATTACCAGGTGCCGGTTGGGAAAATAGTTTAAACTAACTATAGTTAGTGAGAATAGTTTATCGTATACGATTCAGTAACCAGCAGTGAGCACAATAGTTCTGTACCAGTGGTGAGTCAGTGATCTACTTAGTATACATGTGACAGAAATGGCAGGTATTTATAGACTTTAAACCTTTTATTTTGAGAAGTTATTTCTAAAGAGAGCTATTAAAAGCATGCAGAATTTTGTGTTTTAAACGTGAACAAAGAGATGAAGCACTTGCCCAGGGATATTCCTTTAAGTTTACAGTTGGAACTGGGATTTGGTAAAAAAAGATGGCTGAGATTTGGGATTGGAAAAAAGTGCGCTTGGAAATGGGATCTATGAAATGAGAAATGACAGAGATCCCTCTGTAAAGATCTTACATACAAATACATTTTACATTCAATTTACATTAAGTTCTTAGAGGTATACAGATTGCGGGCGCGAATCGTGCGTCAAGTCACGTTTTAGTATTGTTGAGAAAAAGGTTTGAAATGTTGACAAATATAAAATTTATATTTCTTGCATGTTTCAAATCGTAATTGCGTCGTAAGTTCGATAAATAAGTCTTATTTTATATTTTGATTATTATACCCCCTTCAGGACCTTCAACATTCAACACAACTCTTTGCAGACGCTCATAATCGAGATTGCTGATTAATAAAAGCGAAAAATGGCTGATGTACAGTACCCCCAATTGCCACAGATATTCTACCCTAGGCTATAGCTTTAAAATATTTGGAAAGTGTCTCACATCATTTATTCTAAAATAAGTTCAGTCTCGGAGTACAATACAGTTCCAGTTACGGTCCTTACGGATTCACAATGTTGTGCTCATTAAACATGCACTGCTCGTGTTTTCGTAATGTATGCTTGAACAAAACAATTTATCCAGCTGAGTGGACTAAGGCCCGGTTTAGACGCCGTGCTTATCATGAGCCGAACTTAATGTTAATTAACAAAGTTCTTTGTTTAAGCTCATTTGCATTAAGTTCGGCTCATGAAAAGCACGGCGTCTAAACCGGGCCTAAGTCAACAGTTATATTAAATTGACAATACGAGATCGCAATATCGGTTTCCACCGTAATAGATACATCGATTAAAAAGATATCAAGGCATTACGAACTACGAAGTCAGAGCCGTTGTGCTGCTAATAAATATTTAATCATCTGAACCATTTGGTACTTTGTCAAATGCTTGTCCAAAGTAATGACCGCATCAACAAGCAATTTTGTCATAATGATATACACGTCGATATGTTAGCTTAAACCATTAAGCATCCATCTGCTTATACGCTAGTATATTTATACGATCAATTTTTCCGTGATAAATTGAAGCACAGCTATTTCATCTATTTTCGAAAGAAAAAAATTAAAAATGGTAATGCTTGCATGATCTAGCGAATTTCACAAAAGAATGTTCTGATGAGTTACATAGAATTAAACCAATCAAGACAGCTGAAAATTAACATACATATATTACAACGTATATCACCATAGTTGAACTTTCATACGCTTTTCCAAGCCAACGTAATATACTCGTTTAGTTGTTTTATGCAAACAAGGTCTACATTGTTAATTATCAGTGCAATTAATTTATTGACGAAAAAAGGCCTGCAGGCTTAATTTGGAATATAAATGAAATAATCATTCTCTAATAAAATTTACAATTGTCTGTTTGGTAGAAAGAAAAGAAACATGGATATGTATTCTAACTACAACGTCTCTTTTCACAATGATACATCAATAGAGCATGAAACAGGACTTGAATTTATAACAACACCCGCTGTCATCGCCATTGTTGTATCAATAATCGACGGAGTTTTGATTCTTTTTGGTGCAACGATTAACCTCGCCATTATAATAACGATTGCGAGCCATCATCGTGAATTAAAAACCATGGACCTGTTTATCCTAAATTTATGCCTTTCTGATTTCGTTAGCAGTATATTTTACCAACCGTTGGTCATAACTCGACTACTAGCTCGCAGTGCACAAAGTGGCATCCACACTGGAGTCTTTAAAATGGCTTCATTTACTTGCCTTTTGGCCGACTGTGCCGCTTTATTTTTAGTCACCTTCGATAAATATCTTGGCATCAGATTTCCATTCCGTTATCGCACGTATTTCAGAAAGCAAAATGTAGTCGCGATAATCACTTGTGCTTGGGTCATAGCAACAGCAATTGGACTAACATTTGCGTTGTGTGACCAAGCGGCAAAGATTGCAGGAATCCTTTATGGCCTATTGCTCCTAATAATGTTCATCATCACGCCAGTCTTGCAAGTTGCATCTTTCTTTGTCGCCAAGCGACATGAGCGACGAATACAGCGAATGGGAAAGGTGGTTGCTAACTGCAAATGTACAAGGAAGCCGAAACCAACAGATGAGATTCCTTCGACCGACAATATTAACTCTGAAATAGCCCATAGTTCCATCAACAATTCCAAGCCAGTTCATCCATTTACCAGCAAAGCAGCAAGAACAATAACTCTTCTGACTGTGGTATTTATCACGAGTTGGTCGCCACAGATTGTTCTCAATGTTTATTTCATGATAACATCTGATGGGAAAACGTTCTTCCGTTTCATTTATCTTTTTGTCGCATTTCAACAACTTCATGTATGTATTAATCCTTTCATCTATGTGTTCAGAACTCAGTGCATTCGAAATAAGTTTTTTGGAACAAGAAATGAAATAGGAGATTGCTCAGTTCACTGATTATCATGGTATATATAGAGAACATGAAAACAGTATTTATCTGAAAGAGGAGTGTCTGCATTACCAAGGCCTTTGATACTCTGCAGCATAGTGCATTAATTAAAAAGCTACAAGCTCTGGGAATTGACGGGACTGACTCAATGGTTTTCATCATACTTGTACAATAATTGATTATGCAATTCGATAGAGCAAGGTTTATATGACACCCACAACTCAGAAGGGGACTCATAAACTCTTGGGCATAACACTTGACTCGAATCTTTCTTGAACAGCCCACACGTACGGATGATATAAGTACAAAAGTATCGTCTATACAATTGGTACACAAAGAAGACTTAGGCAATATCTTACTAAGAAAATCCCAACAGTCCCAAATACGACCGTCTTGCCCTGATTTGATAACTGCGCAGTTGTCTGGAACTCATGAAACTACACGGCTTTGACAAAGTTCCGAAGGTTATACAGCAAACCAAGGTTATCTTCTGAGGCTGAACTTATAGTGAGTTTAAACGGACTCCACTTCTTCAAAGAAGGCGCTTTCTTCAGGCAAAACTGTTGTATAAATAATGAAATGATGAAATAGAATGAATTTGTCTCAACTATACTAGAAATATAAGGACATCCACAGTTACAACACCAGAAGGAAGGAAGAATTCCTGCTACCAAAACGAAAGTCTATAGTAATTGAAAGAAATCATTTCACTACTCGTCAGCATGCACAATTATGAAACTCAACGCCACTGTCATTGCGGAACTTAAGACTATTTTTAAACGAAACTATCAAGCTATTTATATTTATATTAATCTTATTTGTTGTCATTTGTATATGTGTGCATCTGTATAATATATTATTGTATATAATATATTATTATATATTTTAATGTATTTTAATGTAGCCGAATATTTCTGACTTATAAACATTTTAGCAACAGCTTAATGTGGTAATACAGGGCCTCTTAAATGGAACCACAGTTAACATAGGCCTATGTAAGTGTAAAATAATCAAAATAATAAACTTATTTTAATTAAAAGGTTTGCATAAATTCTTCGCAAAAACATCGATAAATATATTATGATAGAGAAAAAAGAGCAAAAAATATCTATATGAAGAACTACAGAATCCCCAACAGGTAAGTAATGCGGGCGCGTATGAGGTAATAGTATCATTAATAATAGATAAAGGGTTGAAACACCGGTCACGTGATCGTCCGATGTTTACCAAGAGTAACCTATCCACTCGGAGATTTCCGATCGCAGTTCGGAAATGCATCTCAAAGCTATTTATTTTTATTATAGAGCAATTTCTGATTATTTACATTTTTAAAAACTTAATATTGAAACTGTAGTCTATATCGGCGCCAACAAATCACTGCTATTTTTAAAATCTGAATGCAAATCCGAGCATCTCACGAGTGCCGAACTTCATCCGACTGGATAGGCTACTCTTGGTACACAAATCGCGAAGAAAACTTGCTGTTAAAATCATTTAGGGAAAGGTTTATCTTGTTATTTCTTTACTAGATATCTTTGTTCGTCTACGAGAATGCTATACGTTGTAAAATAATCAAATTATGTCGAAACGGTTAATTTAGACGCATTTTAAAAAATCACGTGACCAGTGTTTCAACCCATCTATATTAGGGGCGACGTCCATATTCAAGTTGCCACGCAAAACGTCAAATTGACGTTTTGAGTGGGTGGGTGGGTTAGAACTGTAGTGGTGTGACGTTTTTAGCGTGGCAATATGAATATTTTCCAAAACTACTACGCTAGAAATTATATTAAAAATAACCGTCAATATTTATTAAAATAGTATCAATACGCGATGGAAAAGTTAATATATTTACACTATTCAGTATCAATATTCCATATTAAAAAAGAACTTACTTGGTGGAATTTTTGCCTTTCTTGTTTCTTACATATTTATATATGTTTATAATATTAACCCTGTGGATATATTAAAAGGTAATTTTGTTTCACAAACGATTCAGTTTATGAGCACAGTACAGTAGTTATAAACTTTGATACTTGGAGCGTTCAAACCCCATCTAATTTTGAAATATTCATTATGTCACACTTGACGTTTTCAAGGGTGGGTGGGTGGGTTGTCATAAAAACGTCAATTTGACGTTTTGCGTGGCAACTTGAATATGGACGTCGCCCCTTACTTTATCTATTATGAAAAAACGATCAAGTCTGTTTTCTTTGTTTTTTCGAGGTTTATATATGGCTAATAAACCTCTCAAGAACAATAGAGCATTTTAAAAGCAGGCGGCGGCTTTTGAGATCTTCCGGGGAAATTGGGGTTAATGGACTGATTAGCTGATTTACATTCGCCTGCGGGATTATATACCGCTATAATGCCAGGGACTATATATATATATATATATATATATATATATATATATATATATATATATATATATATATATATATATATATATATATATATATATATATATATTTGGTGTTTAATTACACATTTTCGCATAAACAATGAATTACAATGTGTTTACATTCAAAGTCAAATTTAGTTTATAGTTATTTACACGGTCATAAAATTTAAGGTAAAATAGGTTACGAATATTATTAATATATAAGTTAAGATCGAATAGTAAGTTAAGAATATTGTTAAAATTTAATCATTTAATCTAAGGTAGGTTCCTTTCTCTATTTCATGGCATTCAGTTCAACAATTGCTCTTGGAAGGAAACTGTTTTTAAAGCGTTCAGTTCTGCATTTATACAATGACAGATTATTTAAGTTTCTAATATAATATTGTTGAGCACAAGCCATGGATTGTGTCACGTGCATGTTCGACAAGAGGACCTGCTCGTTTAGCAATCTTCTGTAAGGTATTTATACAGGTTTCGTTTCGTCTGTAGCTAAGTCTTGTGCAATTAGCCAATTGGAGAGCTTCGTCGTATGAGTGGCCAGGAAAGATAATGCGCATGGCACGCTTTTGTACTCTTTCCAGTTCGTCAGACAGATAGCGAGGTATCGCGTAATTCCATACCTCACAACAGTATTCCAGAATAGAACGAATAAGCGCGAAGTATATGTTGGTAAGATCAGCAGGAGGGACACCACCGCGGCATAATACCCGAAGACCGTATAACCGTTTGGAGGCCTTGGTGACGATTGATCGAATTTGCTCGTCCCATTTAAGATTGTTTTGAATAATTAAACCCAACACTTTGTGCGATTGTACCGTTTCTACCACGTGACCATCAATTGTCAAAGATGGTAGCTGCGGAGTTTCTTTAAGAAAGGAAACCCGGAGCTCTTTCCACCTTTTGGCATTCAATTTCATACAATTGTAAGTTGCCCATGAATCGATAGAATCAAGAGTTGACTGAGTGACCGAGAAGCTGTTCGATGTAAGATTTTCAGGAGATGAGACATCGTCTACAAATTTCCATATTTTCGTGCCTGGGGAATTTACTCTTAAATCATTAATCATAATGAGGAACAATATTGGACCAAGTTAGTCCCTTGAGGGACCCCGGCTGTCACTGGGAGCCAGCTTGAAAAGGATTCTCCAATTTTAACTCGTTGTCTTCGATCACAAAGAAAGTTTATAATCCAGGGTATTAAAGACCGCCTAACACCCAGGTCTAGCAGTTTTTCAATGAGAATATTGCATCCAATGCGGTCGAAGGCCTTCGAGAAATCTAAGAAATCTAATCTTTATGCGAAAATGTGTAATTAAACACCAAATAATATATATATATATATATATATATATATATATATATATATATATATATATATATATATATATATATATATATATATATATATATATATATATATATATATATATTATTAAACCAAACCACACGTTGAAATTGTTAATGTTGACATTGCAGTGTTGGAACGTTACCACATTTCCAGAACGACTCGCCAATTCTGCAGAAACACCGTCTTCTTTAATTTCTTCGTTCTTGAAACAAAACCGTTTCAAATTCTCGCCACTAACGATTTCGTCCAGCCCATTCTTGGCACACACCGACAGCCCAATCCGTGCGGCTTCTTATAGTAGCCTTCGGAATTCTATCTTTATTTCTCTCAGCCAAATTAAAATCACTAACGCGTGTCACAGCTCGACAATCATTATCTTTCTGCAATTCAGCAGCCGTGATAGAGTGATTTTTGTCTTCAAATGTCACGAAGTCGTCAATATTAATAGCACAATGAGTTTTGGAGTAACAACTTTGCGTTATCCAAACTTCTTCGTCGCTTTCCTCGTCAAACATTTCACAACGACTATTGTTGAGACATTTACCTCCAATTGTGTATAACAGAATATAATTACTTACATATTTCATAATTAATTGCCCTCTTAAGCATGTTTTTTACTGTATATTTCATCCAAGACAAAGTGATTAATGACGCTTAACAATTCCCAAAAGAAACCTCCTTTGATCGTTTTTTAAGGCCTGTTTTATACGTCGAATTTCGGTCGCGTCGAATGCGCAATTCAAACAATAGATAATGAAGCTTAATGGGCTTAATGGATAACCGAAAAAAAACTGGTCATCGGTATTAAGTGCAAGTTCGAGTAAAGATAAATTTGACCTCTTTATGTCAGAGCTTGACCAAGCCGTTGATACCTTTCTCCCACAGAAGATGATTAAAAAGCATTCAACAGATCGACCGTGGATTACTAATAAGATAAAACTGTGGATTTCTATACGCCAATCCGTATTCCAACAACAAGGAAAAAATTCTAAAGCCTTTAGTTTTTGGAGGAATAAGGTTCAGCGTGCGATCCAGTCAGCAAAATCCAGTTACTTTCATAGTAAGGTAGCAGATGTTGATAGAGTTAACCCTGTAAAGTGGTGGAAAAAGATTAAAAAACTATCTGGTCAAAATGTCCGACAGGAATGGTATCAACAGTTCCTTGATAACAACATGGATACAGAATCCCTAGCTAATAAAGTGAACGACTTCTTTGTAAGTCTTACAGATCACTTCACCCCTCTGAGCCAACCAACTCCACCTATGGAAATCCCAGAAGAATTCTTGGTTACGGAAAGTGAGGTGTTTAAAGCATTAGCATACCGAATAGAGTCCTGAAAGAGTTTGCTCCTGAATTGGCCCCAGTCATTCGTAATGTTTACAACCAGTCAATGAAAGAAGCGAATATCCCATCTCCAGTTAAGTCATCTATTGTAATTCCAGTCCGAAGATATCACCTCCTCAAACAATTGAAAATGATATCCGCCCAATCTCGCTTACTTCTTCAATGGCAAAAGTTATGGAAGGCTTTACTTGCTCTAGACTATTAAAGGACTTGGAAGGTAAAATCGACCCTCGCCAATATGCCCGCAAAGGGCACTCAACAACAGATGCCCTTCCCTACATGATGCAAACAATTCATGAGGCATTGGACAGGGGGAGAAGCTGGTGCTCATATCTTCTTCGCAGACACCCTCTCAAAAGGTTTTGATCTAACTGATCATTCTATTTTAATACAAAAACTGGATAAGCTGCAGGTTCACCCTGCTTTGCTGTCCTGGATCTCAGCGTTTTTATTCAATCGTAGACAGGCTGTTAGAATTGGAAGTGTCCTTTCCCAATGGCAAACTCTGAAGGGAGGAAAAAAGGGACTAAACTCGGAGTACTTTTTATGGTCATGACTAATAGCTTACTGGTGTCTTCGTACAAAATTCGTGGATGATACTTCAGTCCTAAGAAGTGTAAGGAAATGCTTATAAACTTCCTACATAACCCCAATTTCTTACTCCGACCAATCCAAATTGGTAACAATATTATTGAACGTGTGATAACGTATAAATCTTTGGGTGTCATTTTGAGTAGCGACTTAAAATGGAATCCTCATATTGAATACATGGTTAAGAAGGCTAACAAAAACCTATACCCTTTAAGAGTCCTGCGAAGAGCTGGGATCGACCAAAAGAATTTACTGAAAGTGTACCTGTGCACAGTAAAACCGGTACTTGAGTACGCCGTTCCTATTTGGCAAAACATTCCGGATTATCTATCGAAGGAAATTGAGTCGGTGCAAAAACGAGCACTAAAGATAATTTTCTCGGATAGTGAATCATATGCAGAGGCCCTGAATTTTGCACAACTACCAACTTTAAGCACAAGAAGAGTCCAAATATGTCAGAAATACATGGCCAGAATAAGGCGAGAAAACCACCCATTATTGCCAATCCCTGTTGTTCCTGACCATGATATTAACTTGAGACAGAACACTGATCGATCTTATCTATTTAATAATGTTAGATTGCAGAACAATTAAAGCTCAATCTTTTTTACATTTAAATACTCTTAATATGTTAAGATTTTTAATATACATGATAATTTGTAAATAATTATGCATGCACTATTCACTATTTTGGTAAATGCCTAATGATTTTAACTCTTGTAAATAGCCTAGATTCTAAAGCATATTCATGTACTATTTTATAACTTATTTCTATCCATTGTAAATATATCCTATTTCTATCCATTGTCTTAATTGCATTCGACGCGACCAAAATTCGACGTATAAAACAAGCCTAAGTCGGTTAAACACCTCGAACGTCGGCTTTACTTAATTATGCTATTACCTCCATACGCGCCCGTATTACTTATACCTGTTGAGGATTCTGTAGTACTTCATATAGATCATTTTTTTGCTCTTTCTCTATTCTCATAATATATTTATCGATGTTGTTGCGAAGAATTTATGCAAATCTTTTAAAGTAAGTTTATTTTTTACACTTGTTACTGACAGTAGTTGAGCCCCCTGTGATTTATTCTGTTTTAGTAAAGCTTTTATTTAGAAGATACAAAAAATTCACGGATTAGTACATGAAGTGCACGCTATAGTACACTTGGTGGCAAGACAGTCAAGACAAACAAGGAAAACAACATGAATCGTTATGTCCTTTATTCGCAGAGCACGGTTAAACGAAACTTTCTTTCACGTTCACGTAGAAAAGATTTGAAAACTACACGAACACGAAACACGCATTACGAAACTTATCATTGATCACGCACGATTCACTGCTAAGTAAAATTTCAAATTGATGTCGGCCAACTTAATTGCCATTTTTAATTAGTGTAAATATGGCTATATCTGCATGTGTTGAGGGCCCCCATAGACGTTTCGCGTGAAGTAGTTATTTTACTTAGCCGTGAAACGTGATATATGGTTTTCCTAATATGAAGTGATTCGTGACGATATATGCATGGTTTCAAATCGTGAATGATAGATGGAAACAAAGGTGATTCTTGAATCGTTTTACGTGAACGTTTTTTTTTTCAGGACTAAATAAGGAATAGGATCCTGTTGCTTTCTTGTATATCTTGATAGTCTTGCGGCGTATTTCATATAATCAACTCAAAATAGCTTTCTCGTTTGTGGCAGATAAAAATTTAGTTGCTTGAGAAACTTGATTGACAATTGTGATAATTTATCCAATCAAATTCAAGAACGATGACGTCAGTGTTAAACGGTTACTAATTTGGTACGCAACTTCGTAACCTGTTTCAGGATTTTGTTTTTATTGTATCTGAAAATCTGAAATTACTAATTGCCGTTTACATGCAGCGTTTACAATCCTTCAAAAAAGACAAGGAAATATATTTTTTGAGGTTTGTCATGTAATAAAAATCCTATTGAATGGTTTGACATGTAGCCGAGCATTTTACGTTCGAAACTCGTAAAATACTCGGCCGGATTATATGTCAAACCATTCAATAAGATATATTTGATATAAACTTGAGCTTGACAACTGGACTATATATATGTAGCTCAGTTGGTTAGAGCGCTGCATGCACCGGGATCGCAGGGCCTCAGGTTCGATTCCTGGTATATAGAGGGCCTATAGTTGCATTTTTCGCAGCTGCTCCTGGTAATTAATGTCCGTAATGTATAAAATTTACACTCGAAATTTCCATCTACAAAATCCTTCAACATTAGCTAGTTCAATCGAGTGAGATTCCCAAAAGTCCTGGTATTTAATCATATAAATTTCATATGGACAGAAATATGTATGCTTCATGAAACACAACGTCCTCTGGCCATATAGTTTGATTTACAAGCTTTCGGCTATCATACCTATAGCCTTCAACAGATGAAAGAATATAATTTACAGGGGTAGGATATAGCAATATATACAATACAGGAATAGCGTAGCCGAATAAAGGAACTTATTGCTACAGCGATATAAGAGTTTTTACTGCTTCCCGGAATAATTTATAGTTGAAATTAAGAGGCAGTCCGTGTAAAAACCGACCACTCGAATTTCTTAAGATTACAGATTTCCTTCAAACTTTCTGTGTGGAAGAAGTCATTCATAAAATGAACAAAAAACGTTGACTTGGAAATTGTAGTCAGTTTTAAAAATTTTTTCGCAATTATTTTCGGACGCGTTCGAAAACAAGTTAAAACGTTAATTACGCAAGTGATATTTCAGCTTTTTTATATCTCACAGTTCATCTCGCGCTTTTATTCTAACTTCTTGAAACTTACATATTTTATTATTTCCTGCCTAGGCATAAACCTAAACTAAAAATTATCCTGATCACTTGAAGCAAACAAAATATTGTGTATTTTTAAAAAACGTCTTTCGGACAGCTGATTAAATATTCGTGTTAGTATGCTGGCGGTAAATTATTTTTTCTCAAAAGTGCAACGGTATCAGGTATCCAATCTATTGCAGCTACTGAGTATTATGACACATCTACTAGAATAAATAATAAAATCTTTGGGCAGTGTGTTTTTCGCTTGACAAGCGCGTCATGAATATAGTCAATTTTCGCTAATTCGACTAATTATAAGCTATAATTTGTTAATGCATTCACTTAAATTTTTCGCGTTAAAAACATACAAAACTGTTTACTGTTTCAAATATGGCTCTTTTTTGGATAGAGAGTAAGTTATAAATATGCCAGCAATTATATATGCTTGAAATTTTACGTTTATGGGTATCATTAAATACTACATGCATGGTATATATAAACAAAAATGTATAAGAAAAGTGCGGGAAAGGATATATGTGTGCCAATTTATACGAATGCCTTGAAGGAGCACTTTTTTCTCATCATAGATATAGTGCAGATTTATTTTGCCACCATAATATGAAACAAATATTTTATACATGTTTAATATTTTCATGTTTTTTTAAGAACTGCAATTACATGCTGATCTCGGTTAAGGTCCTGTCACACTATTGCGTATGAGAGAAACGTATGAGTAGCGTAAACCATGCATGTGCATGCATATACGTCCGCATACTCGAAAAATGTTTAACCATGCTTACCTTGCATGGTTCCCCGATTTTTAAATAGACACCTTACGATTTAGGACAGCAACGGCTACAAATACAATAAATAATTAAAAAGAATTCAATAATTGCAATATATGAATAATTTAGACATTGTCCTCGCTTTGTTTACAACGCCAAATCACAGATTTTCACGTCTTGATACAACGGCTGCATTTCAAGCCGCAACAAGTGCAACTTCAAACTGGCTTCAGCAGAACTCTTCCCAAACATAAAACCCATTAAATTCATACGATTGTATTAAATTCATACGATTGCTAATATACCACGAATTGTCTTTAGGCCACTATTTGCTGTATATTAGTTTCTCATCCCCGCCCGCATGCTTTTTTAAGAAAATGGCCTTGTTCGCCATTATTATTGCCATTTTTGACCATTATTATAAATTTTGTGATGTCTTCAAAGTGAAATTTGAAAGAATGAAATTAGAAACGTTCCCAAACCAAATGTTAGTTAAAATACAAAATTTCATAACCAAACTGCAAGTTTTTCCCGCATTACGTACACACTTATTAAATATCCAAACTCAGCTATAAAAGTTCTACCGGAAGCCAGGGGCAGGGGAGAAAAACGCCAGACGTTCTGGGTACAAAATTATGAAAACATGCTTTCAGTTGCACTTACTGATTTTGTGCTGTTTTCCAGAAAGTTGCTATATAAATGCTTAATGCGCACTTTTCCAAAATAAATTTTATGGGGAGGGGAAATCCAGCAAATAATGGCATAATGGTATTGGCCCGCCAGCCCGCATCCACTTTAGGAGAAGCTCCGGATGAGAAACTAATATACAACAAATAGTGGGCTTTAATACTACCATTTATTTGAGGGAGTTTGTTTTGGCCGTCGTCGTCGCGTTGCCGTCCTAAAATCGTAAGGTCTCTAATAACCCCTCCGTGCGATTGTTAAATCACTTGCCGTTAGATGCCTCTATATATACACCCTTTAGTTACTGCTTCGCCCTTTCAGAGCTTTCAGGTTTTTATATAGCCTAGTAGCTCAAAGCAACAAGAAAGAAATTCTTTTTTTACATCAAAATGTCTTTGTATACCCAACCATGCATGTATATTAAAGTTGATTGTTTATAGATTCTAATTTCGTACCTTGTCTCTCTATGCACATGAGGGCAGTATAAATGTAAAGTAGTATACTCATAGGCGTACGGGATTCATATATCTATTGGAGGAGCTGTGGTCTATATTGCCCGAAAATATTCGGGCCCCTTTCTTGACTTTTCTTTGGGGGATTTTACCCCCCCCCCCCACTTCAACGAGTTAAGATTGTAATGATTTAGGATATAAATATACTGTTAAGAAAGCGAAGAAAAACTTGAAATTACGCGTTGACCGACGTCAAGCGATGACGGGGATTATATATGAACCGCTTTTCATGCGAAAAACATTACTCTCTAATAAATTGTATAATATACTTTCTTCTAATATTCTCTTGTGATAAATGTGTACATTCGGAGGAAATTGGTGCATATAGTTTTAGTTACCAAGATCAGTATGTTTACAGTGCTTTCATACACTGATAAATAATAAAAACATAATACCGGCGGATAAAATTAGCAACGCGTGCATGTCAATTTCAGTTGGCACATGCGTCAAGACTTTTCTCTATGTTATAAAGCTAGCATAAATGCTGGCATATTTATAACTTAGTCTCTATCCAAAAAACAGCCATATTTGAAAGATAGTGAACAATTTTGTATGTTTTTAACGCGAAAAATTTAAGTCAATGCATTAACAAATTATAGCTTATAATTAGTCGAATTAGCGAAAATTGACTATATTCATGACGCGCTTGTCAAGTGAAAAAACACACTGCCCAAAGATTTAATTATTCATTCTAGTAGATGTGTCATAATACTCAGTAGCTGCAATAGATTGGACACCTGATACCGTTGCACTTTTGAGAAAAAAATAATTTACCGCCAGCATACTAACACGAATATTTAATCCGCTGTCTGAAAGACGTTTTTAAAAATACACAATATTTTGTTTGCTTCAAGTGATCAGCATAATTTTTAGTTTAGGTTTATGCCTAGGCAGGAAATAATAAAATATGTAAGTTTCAAGAAGTTAGAATAAAAGCGCGAGATGAACTGTGAGATATAAAAAAAGCTCAAATATCACTTGCGTAATTAACGTTTTAACATGTTTTCGAACGCGTCCGAAAATAATTGCGAAAAAATTTTTAAAACTGACTACAATTCCAAAGTCAACGTTTTTTGTTCATTTTATGAATGACTTCTTCCACACAGAAAGTTTGAAGGAAATCTGTAATCTTAAGAAATTCGAGTGGTCGGTTTTTACACGGACTGCCTCTTAAGCAGCTGTTAATAGCGTGCGTGTGAAATGAACATTAATCCATACAACGTTTGTTATTTTATTACATATTCTACCACCTCAAACTCAAATTATAGCAAATAGTTTAGAATAATTAATTTAATGTGTGTTCACTTTGATGCTCAGTTAAAATAATCAGTAAAATTACTTTCTTTTGATACACTATTGTTTATTGATCTTATTATATTCCACAAGTACTAGTAACCCAAAAATACAGCATTGAGATATGTTACCCCAGTGCGACACCAGAAATTATTATTGTCTTCCCACACGTTGCGTTTAAAAAAAATGGAAGCTCGTTGCTCATTTAACGCCGGATTAACCATGTGTCAGATGCGGCAAATGCCACGGGCCTCGCGCTTATGGGGGCATTGCGCTTTACTGTGCCACGCCCATTTTTACGAGAACACGGCCATTTTCTATTGGGACACACCCATTTTAGGTGCCTCGCGAATTTAGGGCCCCTAGGCTTGGCAGTTGGCCCCAGCACGGCCCAGGAAGATATGCAATACTTGTGTGCATATAATCTCCAGTTACGTTGAGCTGTTATATTATGATCCTGTTTATACATGTTGACCCAACAACTGGGCCAGGCAGGCCATTGCCTCGTTTATAATTGATGCTAATAAATTGAAATATTGAAAAAAATTATTTAACAATTTTGTGTGTCTTTAAATTCAAAGGTTTTCATAACAAGGCGGAGAGTGGGGTGGAGGGGGTTGGGGGCCTTACGCTAAAATATGCCACAAGCCTCGCGCGACGTTAATCCGGCCCTGGTCACTTGTCGGTAGTTCTTGTGGTTTTAATGCCAATTGCCAAAGAACGAAAGAGAGCACCAATGACTTCCCCCAATGGAGAATTACTGGCGCAGCCCAGGCCAGCTCTCCTTGAGCTGGGGTCGCGGAGAAAATTGCTCCCTTTGCCCCCCCCTGGCGCCACCCCTGTCTTATCATAACTATCTACTTCAAATAATTTTTAAAGCCCCTGGTCTTTTTCAAGTATTTTTTTGTCCCGAAAAAGTAAGACTTAGAAATGGTGATTAAATTATTTACTACGGTATGTTATTTAATAACGAGCAAGGGTTATGGTAGGGATTTAAATTATAAAGTTGGTGTTTGGAATAGGCTTAGTGTAAAGCTTTGTTATGTTTTGTCATTCTGAGGCCAGCGAAATAACCTCTTACG